AGTTTGTCAACAACAGTACTTTGAGAATAAACCTCTGCGCTTTTGTCTTATTCTCCTATAGCAAGTTTACCCTCTGCTACTGACAAAAACTCCGCCATGACTCTCCAAACCTTCACATGCAGATCAAGGGGGTTGAAAGCAATTTCTCCTAACAAAAATGACCGAGAGGAGCCGTGGGAGCCCAACTCCAGACTGCACGCGGAAACAGAGAACAAGAACAGCTATCCAGAATGGAAATTCAGCCGTAAAACGACCAGCCTCTCCTCAGAACGCAGAGATCCCCTGAATCTGCTCCCCCACCCGGTCTTCTGCACCTCTGGCCAGGTTCCTGGCCGCCGACAGAACCTGCTCCTCCCTCCCAAAGCCGATGCCTACGCAGGCCAGCCTGCCAGCGTTCACCCGCCACCCACGGGACCCTCCACTCAGCAAGACGAACCAAAACCAACGCACGCCTCGGTAACGCTAAGCCCTGCTTTTGACACTTTTCACACTTCAGGGAAGAGGAACCCTTCCTCTGCAGCTTTAGTGCACGAGAAGATTAAATTCTTTCATCGTGTAGTTCAACTGACGATGCAAACACATCTCTCCTCGCACAAGCAGAAACACCCGAACGTGCTACGGCGGCAGGAAATTTCGGGGGGGGTTTTGATGATTCCTTAATCCTTCCCCCTTCGGATCCAGCCCCTGCCCTGCCCACCCGCAGCCTGAGAGAGGCAAGGCAGGCAGCTGCTCCCTACCGTCCATGTCTTCTCGTCCCAGGTAGGAGCACCAGCGGTTTCTCATGACCTCGATGGCGTCCAGGTCCTCTTTGGAGATCTCAAAGTTGTTCATGAGGTGCATGCAGGGGATGATCAGCTCGTTCAGGATGCTCATGCCCTCTGCCACACGAGCTTCCTCGCAGCTTACGAACAGAGACGCCGCCACCTCGTTCAGCTTCTGCGGGAGGAGGGAGAATCAGGGGTCAGACTCGTAAGCAGCAAGCGCGGACCCCAGATAACGAGCACGCTGCCAGCAAAGGCACACGGCCCAGCCCCGACCCGCGGCCGTGCAGAGACGCAACGATGAACGGCGCCAGGCTCTGCTGGAACAGCCGCCTGCGCTCACAGGAATGGCACCATCCAAAACAAACCCATAAACACACCGATGTTTACGTACATACGCGTAATTTGTTGTATGTATGTACAGAGTACACCTAGCTTGCGTAGAAATCTGGTTTTAAGATGCCAAGATCCAGACCTGCCTTCACCCAGGCCCCCCAAGAGTCGCCCCGCACACTC